CATCAACTTTGAAATGCAATAGACAACATACGTTCAAGCTTTTCTGCTTTTCTACCTCGGGGTTGCAATAGACAGCATACGTTCAAGTTTTCTGTTTTTCTACCTCAGAGTTTTTCCATTCTGTGAATTTTAATTAGCACAGACAAAGCGAGAGCAGTCACTCTTGGCTTATGAACAATAAATAAATAATGAAAAAATTATAAAAATGAAGTGATCTACTGCAAGTATGTTACAAAATGACCTCGGTTTAATTAGAAAGTGTGTAACTAACAATTACAATAAAAACTAAATACCTATCCACATAATGTCCGACCTGAGCCATCACACAAGCATCACATGAAAGCAAACAAATCAAAAATAGATGGGAGTCAGTCAATATTACAAATCCGTGGAGCCGTTGTCGTAACGCTTCAACAGAGCCTGATCTGTTGGAGGCAGGGATCTCCCAGGAGAAAAGTCAATTTCCTGCTCATTTGTACAGCAATCCTTACAATTATCTGTGTTCTTATCGGAATCTCCTGACAGACACGCTGGAACAAGTTTTTCCAGGAGGTTATTAATAGTAACTTGCAAACTGTCATGGCAATGAGTACTTTGTTTAAATATTGGAGATCTAAATCTGTTTTGCTGAAGTATGATGAATGGGTCGTGAAGACAAAAATGGCAGCAGTCGTTCAATAAGCGGCAAGTAAAGCAATCATCACTTGGTCACTTGGTCCTCTCCGTACGTAGGCCTCTCTCCCTTTTCTCTGCACCATTATCAACAATCTTGATGCATATAATCAAAGTCAAGTACTCAAAAATTCTTTCTTAGGACGGAAATTCTCATGTACAGTACATTCTTCCGAAGACCATACGGTGTTTCCAAGTAAAGTTGTTGGACATATAGTGGTAATAATAGTTTGTGGAAGTTTTGGGGGGTTCAAGGAGCAGGGCCGGCCTCCCAACAGCCTGGTTGATGAATCTCTCTCCTGCTACAGTTGATCCGATTTGGCTATCTCCTCCCATATGGCGGGGGACCGAAGGTGCTATTTGAGGAATGGGAAGAGGGATCACATTGCAGCAGGTTGCTTTTCAGACAAGGCAGGTGTTGTAAATGTCCAGGAGGGAGGGGAGTGAGCCACCACTTATCTTCCGTGGGCATGTTCCCAATGTAGGGCAGGGTTGGGCTGCGGTTGGCAACAGCAGATTTGATTGAATAGGTGGGAATGCAGAGTACAAGTCGTGGCTCAGCAGGGTGATGGTAAAGCCTCCACAATGGACCTGCATGCTGAGCATGCTAGCCATTGATCAGGTACTGCGGGATTCTTACGGGTGGTGGATAGAGAATCGGTCGCGGATATTGTGATTCATTCAGGTCAGGTTCATTGGAGGGAAATTATGTAACACGATTAATAAAAAAAAAAAAAAAAGTTAACGATCAATTGCACATGGGTTCGAGGACAGAATTTGGTCTTCCTAAAATAAAGACATCAATAATTAGTCCAGTGTCCTTTTTACTCTTTTTAAGATGGACCACAAATGAAGTACCGAGAGGTTGTGGAGGAAACACATATGACTGATCCACCATGAAGCGAGGGAAGGAAAAAGAAATGAAAGCAAGAGCATTCTGGAAGTCATCACTCATCCGGAGCTGGTGGAAGCTAGACAGGTCGGTTTCCTAATATTCCTCATGACAGACTGTCCTTTTCCACTGCTGACCTCCCCAATCCTTCTCTATTACTACTTCCAGGGACCAGGGACGAGTATCCCTTAGACGGCCGGTGAGGAAATTGTTTCCATTTCCAGCCATGGCTGTGAGGCTACAATGACTAATGGTTGTGTGGACTTGAAGCACAAGTGACAGACATACTGGAAAGGATAGGAAGAGGTGAACATTTGAACTTCATTTCCACTGTCATACGCATGCATTTTCAATGTGGTTAGGTGAAGAATAAGGTGTTGACATATAAATACTGATTTTATGATGAAACATTGTTTTCACTTGTCCTGATACATTCGGCAGTGGTGTTCCTCATGGACAGGTGTTTTGGACCCAACTAGATTAAACTGATCCTCACAAGCAACAATGTTCAGTTAAAAAAAAAAAAAAAAAAACAACAACAAATAATAAATAGATAATAGCTGATGACACCACAAATTCTCAGTGCCATTATATGTTCATTACGGTTTGATGAGTAATTGTAATCTTTTCATTCAACCAAACAGAAGCAAGGTGCAAGATGTTTCATCACCTTAACCAAATCTAGGTCACTTTTTTCGATTGATGATTTTCAATCATGTGATTAATGTTATCTACAGAATCAAATATGTTCTAAAAAAAAAAAAAAAATCTAAAGCACATACATTACCATGTCCGGGTGCTCAAAAATCAACCAACTTTAAATTTGAATCCATTTAACCCAATATCCGAACATAGCATGTGAACCTGAAGGTTCTTTCTTTTTCTTTTTCCCCAATGAAAATGTTCAATACTGCGGGCTCACTAGCAGTGATATTTTTGCCCAAATTAAGCCTTCTGCAAGAAAGTCTTTCTGCTTCAGCACAAGAGGAAATCGTCTCAACCCAAGGATCCCTCGCAAGTCCATTGAAACAGAAAGACAAATGATCTCTTCTGCTTTCCTGCTCATCCAGAAAGGCATTTTGTCTAATACAGAGCCAAGTACATCGATGAGTTTAAATGGAAAGCGGGTGCCGCTTTATTATGCTGCAGTGCTTTGAAATGAATGTGGATAATAGATATATTCACAGCAGTATTAATATTCTCAAAGCCCCCCTCCGACCCTCATATTCTCCATTTTCTCTCTCTCCAAGGCACCAAAGTACTTTGCCCTTGGCTATGTCTTATACTAAATAGATTTATGAGAACATTTGTGTCATATTTTCTCTTTTCCCGCATTGTCAAGACAGAGTGTCACTGCGGTACTCAGCGCCCAGACTTTGCATTTGCATTGCCAGGCTCATCTCTGGAGTGACGTTAACGAGGCCAATTGGCCAATGACACTTTGCGAGATTGGGCTGCTGATATCAAGGCGGGGTCGCAGTATGAAAATATTGACTCCTATGGTTAACGTCACAGGATTATGGTCTCAATAACCAGCCATGAGGACGGAGAGAGTCAATAAAATGGTAAGGACACAATATCTCTTCATCATCATTGGCTATTCACATCGCTCCAAACAGATAAGAACATCCATTTGTACATGAAACCAGATGAGAGGGCAGAAACGGGCCTACATTATGAATAACTGTCATACACATGAACTCTCTTGCTAACCAAAACAATAGCACTGAAGGAGATGGACAGGCTCAAATGGATGCAAGTCTGGGGTTCTACAGCATGTGCTCAGTGAATATTAAAGATGATCTTACATCATGCAGAGGCAGTGTCTTACAGGCAGCCATCTTTGAATGTGAAATGATTGAATGTTCTTGTCATTTTTCTGCTCTTCAGAATCGTCTTTTTTATTTAGTTTTAAAAAATAACATGAACTCTTGAATATAATTCCAAAAATGTCTCCTAACATGCAGGTGGGGGAAAAAAAAACATCTGGCCGCTATTTGTGGAAATATGGTATAGTAATAATGATTTTACTGCAGATGAATTCATCCGTGCATGACACCAAGGTGAGAGAAGGTAGTCATTTAATCATGTGCAAAGAGTGGCATAGATAATTATGAAATTCCCTCTCAAAAAATGTCTCTGTACTAATGAGTGAAAAGTAGTGGATAACTTGTCAAGCTCTGGAGCATTTTTAGCCGACTGACTACATGTGAATCTTTCTCATCATATTTACTCGTAACCATCAAAACGTTCGTGACACAAGAAGAGTAGACATCCAACGCTTAAGTGGAACCTTGTATTCTCCAGTCACTCAAGATTGGAAAACTCAAATGTTGTCCAAAGATTAAAACAACTCTTAGCTTCAATTGGTTTGAATATCATGACATTTTTATTATTATGGTACAGAGCTGCTAAAGTTATCTGCTTCTGTCGTCCTTGAACAGTTCCCGAGTGGCTTTGGCGTGAATCACTTATTCCAACTGTTTTCTAATTGACTAAATTACTTCAATACATTTTACAAAGCTGATTAACTTGGGAAAAAAAATTGTTGCCTATAGACATGAATACATGAGGACTATTCAACCCTCCAACACACTTGCAGGCTGCATGAGTCAATTATGTAATCATTTGAAGTAGATGAAATGAGTAATTATGATGTTTGAATTATTTAATGAGAATGCACATATTTGCCCAAAGCCTAAATGACTGCTGTAATACAAACAACTCCATTTTACTCTATTCCCTGAATAATAGCTGTGATCAAACCAGACCGAATTAACTCCAAATAAAGTCACTTTCCTAAAATAGATGCCTTCTTGAAATAGATACCTTGACATCTTATATTTCTTTAAAAGTAAATATAGATGTGATTAAATGAATTTAAAACAAATACAATAAAAAAATTGAAGTGAAGTAACTCAGTTCTTCGACTATTGTTCACCCGGGCATTCGAGAGGGGGATCGGCTGATATTGATTATGATACCAATCATGTGAATTTGCTGCACATTTTTCAATTTTGAGCTGCTCATCAATGATTATTTAATAATAGAGTAATCATTTATTGATTAGAAAAAAGGGAAGAGATGCTACACTGCACACAGGTTGGTTTCTAGTTGGCTGCAGGCTGCAAAGTGTGAGCTTAGGGTGATAGGTTTTTTTTTTTTTTTTTTTTTTGTGATCAGCAGTGGAAGGCATTGATCAACATATGCAGATCACGTACTTTTTCAAGGAAATTGGCCATTCACGATCGGTGGCCGATGGATCCGGAGCACCGTACGATTTATTACCTACCGGTAATTCTATTCACAGAAACTATACCATTTTCACTTGATATAAAATTGAGAAATAATATTAATATTTCATATCCTATACAGTAATACCAAAGACATGTTTATAAAAACAAAGCCTCTCCCCAAACAGACGATTGTAACATACCTTTGCTGGCACTCTCCACATGCTCCAGTTCTTCTGGAAACCTCAAAATTTCTGGGTATGCCTCATCACATTTCTCAGCCAAAAAATGAAGCAGCGTTGTGTTCTGACTGATCGATTTGGTATCTCGCAGCTACAAAAGGAAAAAAAAAACATATATCCATATTATTTCCAACATTTATATTCAAGCAACTAGAGCATACAGAGGTTTAAGCAGCTTAGTGACTGGAGGGCAAAACACACGTGCTGACTGCTTTGAGGAATCCAAAACACAATTATATTTTCAAAAATGTATTTCTAAAAGATGATCCGAGGTGGCAAGGTGAAAGCAGAAGCTTAGGGAGCTGCATGGAATGGAGGCCTTAACCGCACAGTTAACGACTGAGGTTTGATGTATTTCAAAAGAGATGGATACCTATAGTGTGATACCGCTTTACCTGACTGGAACACCACATGATGTTTATATATGTTCGTCCACAGAGGTACGTATTGACTTTTCAATCATCGGCTGCCTTCCACTTTCTAAGTCCACAGTGTGTTTTTCATTTTCTTATGTATTTGTGTTGTGTTTTCAAGGAATGTTTGGTGTAGTGTTGTTCTATAGGAAACAAAGTAAGACATCAATAAATAAATAATAGATGATGCGAAGTCAAGTTGAAAGTCTGCTGCCAAGATGAATAAAGTAGGATGACAATGAATGACCAGAATTGACCTGCGTTTTAAACCTGTTTTTGTAAGACTCTCTCTCTATCTATCTATCTATATATCTATATCTATAGATATAGATCTCTCTCTCTCTCTCTCTCTCTCTCTCTCTCTCTATACTATATATATACATATATATATATATATGGCCGGTGGACGACTGGTTAGCGCGTTGGCCTCACAGTGTAGAGGTGCAGAGTTCAATTCCGGCTCCGGCCTTCTTGTATGGTGTTTGCATGCACTCCCCGTGCGTGTGTCGGTTTTCTACGGACACTCCGGTTGCCTCCCGCATTCCAAAAAACATGCATGGCAGGCTGACTGAACACTCTAAATCAGGGGTGTCAAACTCATTTCACATGGTGGGCCACATACGGCCTCGGTAGATGTCAAGTGGGCCAGACCATTAAAATGATACCATACTTTGCTATAAATAACCAAAACAACATGTCT